AAGCATCTTCAACAAATGGTGCTGGCATAACTGGGTAATGGTATGCAGAAGACTGCAGATAGATCCATGTTTATCGCCTTGTACAAAACTTAAGTCCAAATGGATCAAAGATCTCAACATACATCCAGCCACACTGAAACTTTTAGAAGAGAAAGTGGGAGATACTCTTCAACGAGTTGGTACAGGAGACCACTTCCTAAACATAACACCAGTGGCACAGGCACTGAGATCAACAATTAACAAATGGGACCTTCTGAAACTAAAAAGCTTTTGTAAGGCAAAGGACACAATCAAAAAGACAAAAAGGCAGGCCACAGAATGGGAAAAGATATTCACTAACCCTACATCTGACAGAGGGCTAATCTCCAAAATTTACAAAGAACTCAAGAAACAAGTCTCCAAAACACCAAAGGATCCACTTGAAAGGTGGGGTACAGAGCTAAATAGAGAATTCTCAGTAGAGGAGGCTAAAATGGCCAAGAGACACTTAAGAAAGTGCTCAACATCCTTAGCCATCAGGGAAATGCAAATCAAAACAACTCTGAGATACCATCTTACTCCTGTCAGAATGGCTAGAATCAAAAACACCGAAGACAATTTATGCTGGAGAGGATGTGGAGAGAGAGGATCACTCCTCCATTGCTGGTGGGAATGCCGACTCATACAGCCTCTTTGGAAATCAGTATGGAGATTCCTCAGGAAAATGGGAATTAATCTACCACTAGACCCAGCAATTCCACTCTTAGGCATTTATCCAAATGAGGCAGGTTCATACAACAAGGGCATCTGCTCCACTATGTTCATAGCAGCATTGTTTGTAATAGCCAGAACCTGGAAGCAACCTAGATGCCCCTCAACTGAAGAGTGGATAGAGAAAATGTGGTACATTTACACAATGGAGTATTACTCAGCAGAAAAAAACAATGGAATCTTGAAATTCGCAGGGAAATGGATAGCACTGGAAGAAACCATCCTGAGTGAGGTAACCCAGTCGCAAAAAGACAAACATGGTATGTACTCACTCATATATGGATTTTAAATATGGATCAGGATAGTGCCAGTCTGCACTTCCACAGATAGAGAGTCTGGGAAACAGGAAAGAACCTAAAAGATATGCATATATGCATAGTACCCAAGAGAAGAGGATGGAGACAAGATCCTCTGAATGGATGGGGAACAGGGCGAGGGGGGTAGTGGGACCTGGGAAGAGTAGAGGGGGTAAAGAGGAAGGGAGTTGGTCATGGGGGAACAGGAAGTTGAGGGGGTGGGGGTAAAATAGGGGGAAGAGGGAATCATAGGATCGAAGACAGATCAGGCACCAGAGTGACCTCGAGTGATCTAAAGGTATAACATCAATTGGCAAGCTAAGCAATAGTGGAAGGACCACCTCGAATGCCCATTCCTGATAATGAACTTGATGTCTATAACTATCCGGGAGCCTTCATCCTGGGACTGATGGAAGCAGAGGCAAACACACAACTAAGCACTGAACTGAACCCAAGGAACCCAGTGACAGAGAGAGAGGAGTGATGAGCAAATTGGCAAGGAATGGGCTGGCAAAACCAGCAGAGACGGCTGATCTGAACAGGGGAGTGCTCTTGGACCCCAGACCGACAGTGGGGAGGCCAGAATGGGACTGATCTGGACCCCCCAAATGTGAGTGTCAGTGAGAAGGCCTGGGCAACCTATGGGGCTCTGAGCTGTGGATCAGTGTCTATCCCTGGTATACAATCTGTCTTCATGTGCCTATGGCACAAAGAGAGATGCTCTCTCAGCCTGGACTCTTAGGGGAGTGCCTTGACCCTACCAAGAGTGAAATGATAGACTCTAGACATCCCCTATGTGGAGGGATTTGGCAATAGGGTGGGAGGGAGGGTGGAAGGGGAGTGCGGGAGGAGGGGAGGGAGAGGGAACTGGGATTGACATGTGAAACAAGCTATTTAAAATTAAAATAAAAAATGATTAAAAAAAAAATCACAATTCCATTTATTACCTATAAACTAGAAAAGATGGTAGAGCTGACAGTGCTAAATAAAAACATTCTAATAACACTTGCCAGTAAGGATACAAACTGACAAGCTGTTTCTTTCATTCTTCCTTTTGGCACTAGGGATGGAATCCAGGCCTTAGAGGTGTTAGGCAGGTGCTCTATGGCTGAACCAATACAAACTAACAAAGTATTTTTAGATTGTCTATCAAAATTGTAAATGTATACAGTTTGTGACTAAAGAATTTCACTTCTCAGAGCTTACACTTTAAATACTTCCATTATACACGACAAGATACATGACTTTTACATAGTTATTCAGTACAGGATCATTATATTAATGAAGAATTAGAAAGTTAAATTACAGAAATTATAGTACATTTATACATTTGAATGTTATATAGTTAAAATAACTAGACAGCATCATATGAATCTATTTCCACAGTATATAGTTAGAAACAACAAGATGCTTGCTTTATTTCCTACCACTTATACAAATAACAAGAAACACATGGTTAAAAAGGCATAGACCGTTACAACCCGATGGCTAAACCACAGGTGCAGAAAGGTCACCTACTTCTCACTGTCTAAACTTTATACATCTTTAATTGCTTATCAGGAACTAATTCATTTAAAATAATGACTTCTAAAGACAAAAAGCAATTTTTTTTTTGTTTTTTTCAAGACAAGGTTTCTTTGTGTAGCCTTGGCTATCTTGAAACTCATTCTATAGAGCAGACTGGCCTCAAACTCACAGAGATCCACGTGCCTCCGCCTCCCAAGTGGTAGGAGTAAAGGCATGCACTACCACCAACTGGCTCAAAAAGCAATTTTTTATGTTACTGTCAGTTCATTTTAAAATACTCAAGGGCAGAACAACAAAACAGGTCCCTGGCTCATATTCACATCACCAACATCCTGTGTAGTGCCGAACACACACACATTAGACTGCTTTGGCTAAGTTTATAAAAATAAGAATATGTTAAACAATTGGAAATTTACAAATTCCCCTAAAATTTCCTACACTTCAGTTTTCATTTTGAATATCCCATAATATAAGGCTTGTACTCTATCAAAATTCATTTAAAAAACAAGATTCTGTAGTTTGAACTCTATTTGACAGACCCTACTGCCCTCCAAAGCCACTGCTTCTTCTCTCTTAGGCTAGTCATGACAGATAGTACTTCTGAAGTCAGACAACAAATCTTCCATCCACGACGTCTAACTCTGGCTTATGTTGTTCTACATTACTTCTGGACTTCGTTGTTCACGAGTACTGAAATTTAGATCCTAACACCCACATGAAATGTAATCTCCAGGCTTCCTTCCATTCCTCCATTTGAGAAATGCTCATCATAGTATCTGTACTTCCAACTGTTGTGAAGATTAAATGAACAACTACGTGAACTCTGCTCAATTATAATAATTATTATACAGCACATAAGAATTCTGTAAATTTTAACTGTTAATATCCTATAGTGCTCTGGCACTTAACTATTATACCCTCAGCTATTTCTTTTAACCACAGAAATGGTGGCATTAGAGAAAATGACATCCATAAACAGATGATACTGTTTTACACTTCATTAGTATCAGTGTCATTGGGAGAAAAACCAATTAGTGTTATGGCCACCAACCATTTGGCACGAGCCTTAAGCCCAAGAGCTCAGCCAGCATTGGCCTTTCAGTGCCTTTCTCATTCAGTTCAATGCCAGGGTCATTTTTTCAATGGAGAAAAACAAGCTCTAACTCTATGCAAAACCAGCTTTCTACTCTTTGTAACCAGAAGCTATGAGAACAAATTTCAGCCCTTTCTATTTCCATATGTTGAAAGTCTACATTAAAAAATAAACATATATTTATATGTGTGTTTATTTCTATATATCACAATGAACATTTAAAAATCTGATATTTCAATTATGTAATCTCAGTACCATTAATCCTGTAACATCTAAGTATAAAGAGCACCATGTAGAAAATATCATTTAAAGAGTAGGAAAGCCGGGCGTTGGTGGCGCACGCCTTTAATCCCAGCACTCGGGAGGCAGAGGCAGGCGGATCTCTGTGAGTTCGAGACCAGCCTGGACTACCAAGCAAGTTCCAGGACAGCCTCCAAAGCCACAGAGAAACCCTGTCTCGAAAAACCAAAAAAAAAAAAAAAAAAAAAGAGTAGGAAAAATCCAGTTTCAGAACTAAACTCCTTGAGTTCAAATCCTTATTCTGATTTGCGCTGGGCCTCTGCTTGGGACTGGCTCTGGAATCTCAATGTGACGTTTAGTTTTAACTGTAAACCAGAAACCATCTACACCACTTGGGAGGAGTCAGTCAGGAATCTGCCGGGTTGTGTTGGCCTGCGGTCATGCTGAGAGTGTCTCTTAAGTGGGCTAGCTGGGGTAAGCAGACTCACCCATTACACAGGCTGGGCCCCCAACTGAATGAAAATGGGGGAGCCGAAAAGAACACATGTTCACTCTCTGCTCTAGACTGTGGGTGCTGCTGCTGCTTCGGGTTCCTGACTCCCCGATTACCCCACAATGATGGGCTGGGAGTCGGGACTGTCCGTCAAATAAACAAACTCTTCTCTCCTAAGTGGCTTCTGTCAGGTTATTTTACAACAACAAGAGATGAAACAGAGACAATGTTGGTACCTTGATTTCCTTCTCTTAAAATGAACATAATACAATAACTCAAAATGACAGTGATGAGTAATTAGCTCAAGATGTTCATAAATGTTGCCATTATTCTTATCTTTCCCTCAGAACACCAAGGTCAAAGGAGCACAGATAATGAACTTTTTTTTTTTTTTTTTTTTTTTTTGCTTTCAAGAGACAGGGTTTCTCTGTATTGTTTTGGAGGCTGTCAGTCCAGCCCGGCCTCGAACTCACAGAGATCCACCTGCCTCTGCCTCCCGAGTGCTGGGATTAAAGGCGTGTGCCACCACTGCCCAGCTAGAACTACAGTTTTTAATCATAACTTTAACAGTAAATGAAGTAACTGAAAAAAAAATACTTACTTTGTAGCAGCAGCGGCTGCAGCAAAATGTCTGTGGGTCCAGAGAACATTGACAGAGCAGGGGGAGGAAGGGGCTTGATAAGCTGCCTTGGAAAGACAGTGCCTTTGATGTTGTGTCAAGACTTGGAAGGAAAGCAAAATATAATTAATCATCAGATCATATATTTTTACATTCTAAGAGTCAATATTTTGAAAACAAAAGTGTAGGAGTGAACCCCAAAAAGCTATCTGCCCATGAGGGCGGGGACATGTAAACTGACACAGGTAGACATAAAAGGAAGTGAAAGAAAAAGGAACCTCCCTTTTCTCCTGGAAGCCAGCCGCGCTTCTAACTCCTGGTTTGTGCGACTATCTCTCTCTCTCTCTCTCTCTCTGGTAAATAAATATATTGTTTTCCTATAGCATTGACTGTCGTTAATACAAAAGCAACTAATGTTTTATGATTCTTAACTACTGTTGAAAGGTATAAGACTACGGGCTGGATTTTTTTTTTCATGTAATAATGGGGGTTGCTTCAAAAGCAAGAGAATCTGGGTTTGAATCTCTCCAGAACCCACATGAAAAGCTGGATGTAGTGGCATATGCCTACAATCCCAGGAAAAGTGAGATGTCAGGAATCGGGTCCCTGGAAGCTTGGGGCTAGCTAGCTAGCCTGACTTGTATGTATTGAAATTCCAGGCCAATAAGAGGCCATGTCTCAAACAAAAGGTGGTAGGTGTCTAAGGAACAACCCAAGGTTGTCCTCTGACCTCTACACCAGCAATGCAAAATGCACCCATTCCCCACATGAATACAATCACAAAACACAAACATATAAAATATCCAATAATAGGGGTATGGCGTATTCGTAGTTCCTGGTCTAGGATGCGCAAGGCCCTGAATTCCATAAGCATCACCACTAAAGGGAAAGGTAAAATATAGAAATCACACTTAGAGAAATTAAACGCAAGCAGAGGCATCTAATGTCTAGTAAATTTTCTATTCAGTTATTTGTGTTTCAGACAGGAGCACATTGTTGATTAGCCTGACCTGGAACTCACCAAGTATGGCCCAGGCTGGACTGAACTATAAGCATTGTGTGATTACAGGCATGAGCGTTTACACCCTCTTCACCTATTTTTACCTTACCCTAATTTAAGCTCAATAGATCCATTTTATTAATATGGAGTATGGATATATGTACCCCCTATATTTTTAAAAGTTTCTATATATTCATTTCTTAAAATACACATTCTCAGAGTTGTTTGAGTTCTTCTAAAATCAGAATAAAGCGGGAAATTTGCCCTACCAGATCAGGACTTGCTATAAGAAGGGGTAGGGAGGAGAGAGGGTAGTATAGGGGATAAAAAGAAAGCGCCAAGTATAATTGTGTATGTATGGAAATATCAATGAAAACCATTTCTTTGTAAGCTACATAAGAAACTGACTTAAAAGAGATGTTATAAAGTTATGGTGGTTCTACATATTGGTAGTGGCACAAATACAGAAGACAGATTGATAAGACAGACAAAATGGCTTGACAACAAATTCATCCAAAGTCCCCAGGACAGAGGGAGGAAAAAAATAAACCCACTGACGGGTAAGTGGTAATACTTAAAAGCCTTTCAGAATAGAGAAAAAAATGTCTTTATTGTTAAGAGAAGCTTTTTCTTGAGAGGAGCCCCCCCCCTCCCCCGCATGGTTCCAGATCCGCATCAGTCCCAAATAACACACAGGAGGCTATATTAATTATGAAGCTGTTGGCCTTGCTTGTTTCTTACTGGCTAGCTCTGACTTAAGTAATTACCCCATAATTGTTAATCTAAGTATTTCTCTTACCAGAGAATGGTTCCGGGCTTCCTACCCCCATGGCATTACATCTTGACTCTCTTGTGTTTCTCCTTCCCAGAATCCTCCTGGACTCCTAGTCCCACCCATCTAGATTCCTATTGACCAACAGTGCTTTATTAACAAATGTACAGGACTTCCCCCATCACTTTATGCCTTTAGGGGAGGAATGGTTTCATAAACAAGGCCCAAAGGCACTAAATAAAAGTGGTTATATTAAACAAATGGTTGTATTGTGTTATTCTCTATCCCCACCAGCCCTGCCTATCCTTCTTTTTCCTAGCTATTAGTCATCAGCTTTTTTACTAGACCAATCAGTTGCCTTAGGCAGGCAAGGTAAAACAGCAACACATCTTTACATAATTAAACAAATACAGCATAAACAAATGTAACACATTTTACATGTTTAAAAAAATTCAGTATAAGCAAATGTAACACACCTTTACATACTTAAATATTCCACAACAGAAAGGTAAGAAGCCCTGAGGCAAAACAGATGAATATAAACAGATTAAATTAAGTTATTGGAGCTAGTGGAACAAGAATAAGATAAGGCTGAGCATTCATAACTAATAATACATCTCCGTGTCATGATTTGGGGGCTGATGGTCCAAGAAAGCCTGATACATATACTGTGTACACATACACATGAAAAAAATCTTATAATGTATATTGTAACATTCAAGCATTATTCTGGCCTGCCCATCACCTGGCAGAATGCACTCAGGCTGTACCCTGATCAGCCCAGGTGCAAAGGACCCCTTTAAAAGAAAGACCTACATCGTTCTCTCTTTCCTGCTGTCTTTTCCTTCTTTCCCATGGTTCCCCTAGAGCAGACAGGACTTTTCCTGTTTCCCTCTTCTGTCCTCTCTCTGCCTCCTTACCTCTCTTCTCTTACCTAACCCCCCTTCCCTTTCTAGTAAAATTAAGTTCTGTCTGCCTGGCATGTTTGTCCACACCCCGCCCCCATGGAATCTGGAGGTTCCTCACATTTTATTCCTAACATAGATGACACTCTGAATTCAAAGTAGTCATATGTGAAGTACTCAGCAGTAAGTAAACAAAATGGACAGGGCAGTTATAGACTATTGTAAGGACTTGGGGGAGGCTTTTCACAGTTCTGAGCATAGAAGTGATATGATTAAATTCCTTTTATAAATATTAATTAAGAGTCTGGAAATAGGGTCTCAGACTGGCCTAGAACTCACTACGTAGTCCAGGTTTGCCTCAAACTGCATTAATCCTGCTGACTTTGCCTGCCAGGTGCTGGGATTAGACGCTGTACCACCACAATCCGCTTAAGTTTTTTTTCTCTGATCTTACTTATTAAATTCTCATTTTATTTATTAAATTTATTTAATCTCACTGGTAGAGATTTGCCTGGCATGCTTGAGGCCCTAGGTTCCATACCCAACACCACAAAACAAATCACAAGCTCCAGTTCTTCCCCTGACGTTTAATACACGAATTTAACCACATGCCCAGTAGGATTTGTTTCTTCCCTTTAAAACGGAGTGATGAGGGCTGTTTTGTCAGCTTAAAGACCTGATTTAATTGGATAACGATATTTATAATCATTGTCCCTAAAGAAAAGAAAAAAAGCATGGTAATAGAGGACCTGTCACTCTAACCAACTGGACCTTACTGGCTACTGAAAAAGAAACACTACAGGATTAGTCTTCAAATGATAAACATGACCTAAATTAGATAACGCCTGTGCATTTAAGAACTGGGATCGCCTGTATTCACGAAGCGGCTACAAACACCCCAAGGTTCAGATGTTGACAGATGTAAACCACTTTCCCCTCTCAGGACTCGCTTCTCAAGATGAACCCACCCGCTATGCCACACACTGCACAGAAGCCTGCCCTGTAGTCCTCACCCCTGACTGAAAGGACAATGTATTTTCTTTCCCCATTTCACCCGCAGGGTGACCTGCTCTCAGGGACAAACCTTGCGTCGAGTTGAGGGTCGCTTTTAAGCAGAGATGACCCTCTGGGCGGGGTAGCCCAGAACCAGCGTGGAGGCATTTCGGGTACCTAGAGCTGACCCGCGCCTGCCAGATTCTGGCGCGTACTCTGCTACGACAAGAGGTGCCGTTCTGGATCTACTTTCCACGAATGAACTCCGACTGTCTTACCTCTGCCGAGGCATCGTATGGCGGCCGCCATGTTGACTACTCCGGATTGTGTTGTTGAAATTGGTCCCGCGATCCAACTGCACGGATGAGCAAAAAAGGTTCCGCCCGGAAGCTGGCAAAGGGGGAAGGTGTTGGTAGGAACAGAGGATCGGGGCGGAGAGCCCACCTGGGCCAGGCTTTCCTGTTGGTTCTCTTTTGTGGTTAAGGACAAAAGCTTTCCAACCATCAGGGAACAAATGGTCTTGTTGGAAATGCTGTAACTATTCATTCCTTCTTATTTTTTCTTTTTATCTGCAGATGTATTCAGAGCCGAGCCATCATATAAACAGGGGAACCCAGTTCCTTGCCTAAAGTCTTGAAAACCTGGAGTATCCCCAGGTTCCTCCGCCACATTTCAGCCTTGCTAACATTTTCCCCCTTTAAATGCATGTTGCCAGGCGATAGTGCGCCGAGCTAGCTTGTGCGAGGCACTGAGTTCTATCCCTTTGACAGGAAAGAGAAAACAATCCGCCAAACTTCTTCACCACCCAAGGCGGACCAGGAGGTCCCATTCACTAACTCCTTTCAACAACGCCACATCAATGTCAGTCTTTCAGCTATCTGCTTTACTGTTCCCGGCTGTTGGCAAGCTTTGCCTTTAGGACCAAGCGAGCAGTACAGTACTTGGCGTTTAGGAAACAAATCTACGATTTGGTTTGGTTCTTGCTTTTGTGTTTGTTTACAACTAGTATTCAAATTATCAGAGATGATCACAGACCCAAGTTCAAGTTATTCTGACACCCTTCCCCACCAAAGAGACTGACCCATTATGTCACAACTGCCCGCGTGTTTTCTCTAAAACAAGTCTGATCTCGATTTCAATCAATTCCTCATTAAAATAAAACCCTCCAGTGATTGGTCATTTCTTAATGCTCACTTATGACCTCTACCTATCTTTTCCAGTCAACATCCCTCCTAAGGCGCATGCGCATGTACAAACACACACACACACACACACACACACACACACACACAGAGGGAGAAAGGAAGGAAGAGAGGGAGGGAGGAAATCAACACATTTTTCACGTATGTGATTTTGTTCCCCTGAGGCTTCTGCTTGAATTAATCATGTACCCCATTGCCAGTAAAATTTTTTCCTTAAGATTTCAGTTCAGAATTCACTCTTTGTAGGCAGTCCCCTTCCACACTTCCAGGACTGAGCTATGGCCTCTTCCTTCTGGTTTTGAATAATAAACAGGAGTTATATGTGTTTATTTGAAGCAATTCTGAGGCCCATTTTATATATAATATGATTTACCAAGCTAAATTGTACAATTAGTGGGTGTGAAAAGATTCAGAGTTGTGCAACCATCACAATGAGTTCTTTGTGGGCAGCAATCTTGTCATTGTAACGCAGCACATACTACACACAGCATCAAGCAGGAACGGAGGTCTGCAGGGAACATTTGCTGAATAAATGAATATATTCATACATGAATTAGTGATTTGATGAGAATATCAAGCCTGCAAACCTTTACTTGGTTTCATGAAGCTACCTACAGAAGATAGACTGGATCAAAGCTGGAAATTCCCAGAAGCTTTACTTTATATTTATATGCAGTGGTCATCTAAATAAAGAATAAGATTCGTAATCATGGTCTATTCTTGTTAACACCTAAGCAGGTACTTCAAAAGCTCCACGGTCTAGTGTGACTGGAAAGAAATAAGAAACATAAAGGAACTTGAATCTACTTTTATAACTTGCGTCCAGCTTGCCCCATCTTCCTTTTATGCTCTTTTTTTCACATATACATCAGGGAGGGGGAAACTTGCAATCATCTCATGATACTTAAAAAAGTAATTCAATCTAAGGATATATGTGTGTGTGTGTGTGTGTGTGTGTGTGTGTGTGTGTTTGTGTTCACCTACTTATCTGGTTCTTAAATGTATCTCTTCTTATCTCCTCGGCTGGAAATGCCTACCATGAGAACATAACCATTCAGTCAGGACTCACAACAATATATAGTATGCTTACAGCAGTATCATTATTATTATTATTAAAAACAATATCCTTTATAAGTTCAGTGTGCTTGATTGCCTTCTTTGGTCACCAGAATTTGATAGCATTAATCAGGGATAATCCAGAGCCCATATATTTGCAAATAGATGATTTATAGATAGACGATATTCATTAGCTTAAGACTTTATAAAACTATAAAATAATTAAAGGCCATACTCTGAAAGGGGCACTCCACTATAATGATAAAGACTTCATCATCCCTTGATTTAGAATTACCCAGGAGATTGAGGCATACCTCAGTGTATTTCTGTGAGGATATTTCTAGAAAGAACTAATTGATGGGGAATATACATCCTGAGTGTGGGTAACACTATCCCACGAGCTGTGAGCTCTGGTGGAACACGGGGGACATGAGGGAACGGCAGTGGAGTGCTGGCTTCTTCTTTCTGCTCCCTTTTGGTCATGTCATGGGTTGCTCTGCGATGTCTTCCCCAGCTGCAACAGGCAGAATCCTGAAAAATTATGATCCGAACTAAACCCTTCTTGTTTTAAGACATTTCTGTTGGGTGTTTTGGTCACAGTAAGGAAAAGCTAACATGCATCAGACCTCTGAATATTTGATACATATGAGTTTCTCCTTACTGAAGAAAGGTGTTTTGATTAAGTGGGGGATATTCTGGGGTCAGACTTCCTGCCTTTCAACACCAGTATCACCATCAGACTGAGCATGATATGGAGTAAATAACTATAACCTCCTTGGGCCCTACTCCTTTATTTTGACATGGCACTAATAATGAGATAAATTTCAGAGAGCCTTCGAGTATCTGTCACACAGTCAATCCTCAATGAACACTAAAGGTCACTAATAAAGAACCAAATGAAGTTCTTTTTCTTTTTGGGAGGGGAGGGGTTTTGAGACAGGGTTTCTCTGTGGCTTTGGAGACTGTCCTGGAACTAGCTCTTGTAGAACCAGCTGTTCTCGAACTCACAGAGATCTGCCTGCCACTGTCTCTTGAGTGCTGGGATTAAAGGCATGTACCACCACCGTCAGGCCCAAATGAAGTTCTTAATCAGAAACACAAATCAAATCATCTGCTTATTAATACCATGCACAGCATTCCTGTCCCCACACATGCTAGGACAGTGCTTTTATTAGTATTTGCAAAGTCACTTGTCTATGCAGTTTATCCTAAAATGCAAGCTTTGCCAGTTGGTTTCTAGGAAGGTTTAGCCACTTCAGGAGTCTTGGCAAAATGCCGGCAGCCTCTCTACTTGGCTAGCTTCCCTGTGGAAAAACTATTTAAATATGTGCTTGGGCCTGTAGTTGTTTTGATCCATGTTCTCAGACTTCTTCAAGCATTTCCTTGTTGATCTGGAAACTTGTGCTTCAACAAAAAAATCACTTCCTGTTTGAGGTAAGAGTTGGAAAAAAAAGAATCTTTCATCATACAAAAATAAGGAAATATAAGATGTTTGTATTTCACTAATGTGTCAGAATTACTAACAAGGCCTTCTGGAACTTAGATTGGTGGCTTTCCATGCCCTATGCTGAGATTATCTGATCCATTAGGTCTGAAACGTTCTGGGGTGACACTGGTATAGTGACCTAGGGACACACATAGAAAAACTCCCTGAGCAACTAGGAAACATTTGCACATATACTTAATATTAACTTGGATAGGAATAGTTGTTCTCTATAAACCTATAAACACCTGTCTGATACAATTGCATCAAAGACCAGGATCTACCCACTTTCATCTTCTCTAACTCTACACAGAAGCATGTTGCCAATAGGCACAGTTTCCAATGTCTTCCTGCCTATCTTAGTTTAAAGTATTACTAATGCTCATGAGTATCACCCATGATTATGTTTCCTTCCCACCTTGTGATCATTTCAGAATCAGGCTATGGTTAAAATTTTTACTACCCAGAATTATAGCATCTCAGTGTAAATATTGAAAGTTCTGTGAATGACAGATTAAAATTCATATTATCCTGTTCCTCATAAGTAGGGGCTTCTCTGCCTCCTTAGGAGACTAGTTTAATTACAGATTGAATTAGGAGGTTCAGAACTCTGCCGTGGTACATTAAGAAAACCTTAACAACTGGCTCTACAATACAAAAGAAATGAATATACATTTCCATGCTGTAAATTCTCTCACAATAATTAGTTTCAAGCTGTTAATCTTAAAGTCAACCAGTTTACCAGACCCTTGATAATTTAAAACTTGGTTCTCATATGGGTGGAAAACACTACTTGAAGTTTCCTATAAAAAGCATTTACAGACCTCTAAATGAAAGCAATTCTTTCTTGACCAACACTTCTTAAAGTCTGTGAATACAAGTCATTGGGAAATCTGATTAAAGCATAGGCTACCATTTGATAAATCTTGAACAGGACTAGAGATGTTGGTTTCTAGGAAACAACAATGTGGCGGGCCCATGGATTGTACTTTAAGTGCAAAGGTCCTAGAGCACACCAAACAACAAAACCTTAATTTCTTGGGGTTTATTTGCTTGTCTGTTTTTATTTTTTCTGAGAAAGAGTTTCACACTGTAGTTCACGCTGGCCTGAAACTCACTACATAGCCCAGGCTGACCTCCATCCTGAAGAAATACTCCTGCCTCAGCCTCCCAAGTGCTCGGACAAAATCTACATCATTATCATTAGTTGTCTCTCCTCTCTCCTCTTCCCTCTTAGAGTGTATTCCCTCATTTCTGAACCTGGCACCATAGTTTTCATCTTCAGTGGAGATAGCAGATATACCAACAACTTCCGATCCCACACACATCTACTTCTAGTCTGAACATCCCCTCTCACTTAGATACAACTTTCCAGGCCCAGGTATTTGAAATGGGTTAGTTCCACCAAAACTCGTGTTGAGGTTTAATTCTTCAATGTCACACTGTTGGGAGACAGGACCTAACGGAGGTGTTTGGACATCCAAAGGGGTGAGCCCTTGTGAGAGGGTTCAAGTTTTCCTTCTGGGGTGGGTTAAACACATCAGGGGTTAGCCTTCTCTCACATGTGCCTAGTCTTCCCTTTTCCTTTCCTTAGGGGTCCTACTTGGTTTACTGCCGAGGTGAACACCAACCAAGTAGATGTCATTTTCATGTTCT